AGCGCCCCGGGCAGGCATGGGAGTGGCCATGAGGGAGGGAGGGAGGTTTCTAGCACAGCTCTGGCCCGGCTTGGGCAGGTGAGCTGCTGGGACTGGCCCCCAGTCCCTGGCCCTCCCTCCTCCCTCTCCCCCCCCCCCCATTGCACCAGAGGTGCCCGGTCAGTGTTGGCATCGGCGTGTGTGCGAGTGACATGAGGGTGTTTGGGAGCGTTTGCCAGGGATGCGTGTGCACACTGTACCCCAACGCCTGTGTTTAACGGACATGTGGAGGGGTCCCTGAGCCTGGTGTGTGTGAGCAGGTGTTTGCGTGTGCCCTGGGTGTGCCAAGCAGTGTGTGGCGCATGCGTGCGTGTGTCTGCGGCGTGGCGTGGAGGCAGGTGGTGCGAGTGTGCAATGAGTGTGCCCTGCGACGTGAGCTGGTGTGAGTCCCTGCCCCCTGCAGACACGGGTGTGTAGGAGGCAGGGTCCAGAGGAGGCCCTGCTCTTACATAAAGGGCTGCAATGCGGCGAACCCCCGGCCTCATTGGCATTCAGCGCCCGTGCCCGGCGGATGGCTCCCAGCGCACCACCCTGAGTCGTGTCCTCCCCCGCAGCCTGGCTGCCTGGCTCCCCTGCTGTGCCCGCTGCCTCCCCCGCCCCCAGCCCCGCTCCTGCCCTCCAGCACCTGGCATTTCCCAAAATAGGCAGACCTGTGGCAGAGGCGGGGGAGGAAGGGAGGGAGGACGAGAAGCCGGAACAATGATGCCCCGGGAGCCTCTGCTGCGACCCGGAGGCCCCCCCCCCCGCCCCCAGCCACACACACACACACCCCAAATGCCGGTCACACGGCTGCAAATGCTGGTCAGGGCCTGGAGCCCTTCTGAGGGGTCACTGGCCACGGTGGCAGGTGCCCAGTCGGTGCCCAGATGGGGCGCTGGCTGCCAATGAATCCAGCCCTCTCCGGCGGGAGGCAGCCGATGGGGGTCCTCTCCGCGCCAGAAGGAGAAGGGCTGGAAGGTGGACGGAGCTGGGACGCAGAGGGGCTGGAGGAGGTGGGGGTGGGAGGGGGGAGCTGGCGGCGGGCGGGGCGCACCTGGCTGGAGATGAGGTCCTCGCACACCGACAGGGCCATCTGGATGGCGTTGGGCTTGTGGGTGACGGAGGTGGCGTTGAGCTGGATCTTCCAGGCGCCGTGGCGCTTGTTGGCCTGGTTCACGGCCTCGCGGAACACCTGCTCGTGCTTCCGCGTGCTCAGCACCGCGCCGATGTTCACGATCTTGGGGTCGCAGGCGGCGCGGGCGAAGGAGCAGGAGAAGAGCAGGGCGAGCGTGAGCAGACGCATCGTGCTCATGGGCGGGCGGCGCGGGCGCGGGGCCCTCGGCGCATCCCCGGCCCCAGCGGGGCGCCCCGGCCGGCCTGCGCGCACCCGACCCCGCGGGCGGGAGGCGCCAGGTCCCCGGGAGCCTCAAGCCCAGGGCGTCCTCGGGAGGCAAGGGGGCTCCCGAGCCCTCGGCCGGAGGGGACCGTCCTGGGCGCTCGCGGGTTCAGGCTCCGAGCGGCGGGCGCTGTCCGCGGTGCTGACGCGGGTCCCGGGGTGGCTCCCGCCGCCTCGCGCGCCGAGGCCGGTGCGGATCCTGACGCGGCGGCGGCGACTGCGGCAGCTGCAGAGCCTGGAGCGGGACCCGCGTCTCTGCCCCTCCCGCCGCCCCCGCTTCCTAACGCGGAGCCGAGGGGGCGCCTCCCGCGCCGGAGCGAGCGCTGCGTCTGCGAGCCTTTGCCAGCGCGGGGCGAGCGGGGGAGCGAGGCGGTGCGGGTGCGGGTGCGGGTGCGCGCGCTCCGTGGACCGGTCGCGGGGACAGGGCCTGAGCTGTGCGCGGCCTGCGGGGAGCTGAGTGCAGGGATCTTCCCGTGTCACCGTGCGCAGCCCTGGGTGCCAGGCTGTGTGTGTGTGTGTGTGTGTGTGTGTGTGTGCGCGCGCGCGCGCGGGCACGAGTCCTCCTCCACGGTGATATTTCGGGACGGATTCTGGGGCTGGAGACCCAGGGGTGCGGAGGGGCCTAGGCCACGTGCCCCGGGAGAGGGGGGGGGGGCTCTTTTCCAGAAGCTCACACAGGGGAAGAGTCCCCATCTACCTGGCCATGTGCCTTGGACACCCCCCCCCCCAAAGGTTGGGGAGAATGGAAGGATGACAGACTGCCCGGGTGGAGCTGAGCCTCCCAGCAGAGTCGGGGGTCTGGCCCCATCCCCTGGGGGGAGCCCAAGACCAGAAGTGGCGTCGGCAGCAGGTGGGACTAAGGTTAGACTCCAGGAGGCACTGCCCAGGAGGCACCTGCGGGTCAGACCTGTGTCTTCTGCTTCCGCTCCCCCCCCCCCAGGGCCCCTCCTGATTCACTCCCCCCCCCCCCCGTCCTGCCTCTCTCCAGAGCCCCTCGCCTCCCTCTGGTCCCCGTGATCCTAATTCTCTGTCCCCTCCACTCCCAGGCCTGCTCCCCCATCCCTAACCTAAAGGATAACTGAAGCTCCGCCTCCTCCGTGACATCACCGTTTCCAATAGCAACTGAGGCTTTTGCATTCCCAACAGCAAAAGCCCCCAGTGGGACAAAGCGGGCTGTCCCTAGTCCTCAGTGACGCTCTGAGCAGGGGAGAGGGGAGGTCCACGCCTGGTCCGAGGGCACCCCCTCCCCTCCCACCCCCTGCAGTTCTCACCACCAGGCTGAGCCCCGAGCCAAGCGCTGGCGGGGGCGGGAGGCAGGGGCTGCAGCTTGGCTGCTCCCACTCCAGCTCTTTCTCCTCAGTGAGGGGAACCCAAGCCTGGGGGCAGATGGGCCCACATCTTGCTGCATCCCCACAGCCTCTGTCTGGGATCGAGAGTCACAGTGGGGAGACCCCCAGCCCCCAGCCCTGAGGACGCTTACTGTTCCCGGGGCTCACAAGAGGGCACGTGGGGTGCGCTAAAGGGCCCAGAGCTGGCCCTGTCTCCAGAGGCTCTGTGGCCCTGGCAGGTCACAGCCTGGAGGCTGCCTGCGTGCAGGGGGTGGACGGCCAGGGGTCAGCCAGCATGGGGGAGGGGCGGGGGCTGAGGCCACGCTGCGGGCCTGTCTCCTCCATCCACCCCCACTCCTCCAGTGGGAGCTCCACTGACCTGGAGCAGCAGTTTCTAAATATCCAGGAATCTGCGAGCTGGCTGTCATGCAGCGGGGAGCCTGCAAGTGGCCGGTGGGAGTGTTTAGCCAGGGAAGCGGCCGAACCCCGCACAGCAGGGCCCTCTTTCTGTCAAAATGGGTTGGTCAGCACCCCTGCCTCCCCAGGCCCAGGTGCCGCAGCTTTTGCCTGGAGCCCCTTGCAAGGTCCCCAACACCCAGGGGAGGGTGGAGGCCGTGCCTGCGCCAGGTCATGGGCTCCTTGCAGGAGTGCAGCTCCGTGTTGAGATGGAGGCTTCCTCCACCCCCATCATGGCTTGGGGTGAACTAGAGAAAGCCTTTAAAAAATATATATATGTATATTTTAATTGATTTCAGAGAGGAAGAGAGAGGGATAGAGAGGTAGGAACATCAATGATGAGAACCATTGATCAGCTGCCTCCTGCACGCCCCACACTGGGGACCAAGCCTGCAACCTGGGCCTGTGCCCTGACCGGGAATCGAACCTGGGACCCTTCAGTCTGCAGGCCGACGCTCTAACCAGTGAGCACACTGGCCAGGGCTGGAGAAGGCCTTTGACTGGCTGCCCTGCTGTGGCAGAGGAACTGGCTGAGACAGGGACCCCTCTGAATGCTGGGGAAGCAGACGCTGTGGGGAGGCCCAAGGAGACCTGGGGTGTGGCCTCTGCCCCAGGGCTCCCCGTGGGAAGGTGGGCTTGGGGTGCATGGCCACCCCAGTGCTGGCTCATTCTGCCCAACAGCCGCGGAGGGACCTGCTCCCGCCCCTCCCTCCCTCCAGCCACCAGCGCTCCAGGAAGGGCTGTCAATCATCAACACAGCTCTTCCTTGGCCTCAGCCCATTGGCTGAGGGATCGTCACATGACCCAGGCCGACCACTCAAGTTCTTCCCCAGGATTTTAGCCAGTTCGGAACCTGGGACAAGCACCCACTTCTGCCTCCTCTGGGGGGTGGGGGTGAGTCCCTGGGGACGGGGCTCATGAGCCGCCGGGAGACACACTTCTGCCGGGAGGTTGGGCCGAGCAGATGAGCAGGAACGAGGCTGAGACACCTTCCCCACGGCCAGGCCCCCCTGCTGTGAGGGCCCACTCCAAAGGGGGTTGGGGGTGGCTGGCTGCCAGCAGGCCTGATGGGGTCTCTGTTCCCTGATCTGGGGGGACCCGAGGGCCTCCCGACCCAGAGCAGCTGCAGACCCCAGCGGTGCTGTCTCGCTTGCCCTCGTGCTGACGTCCACGCACACCCTGTCCGCACTCCACTGCCTGCCCCACCACGGGGTCCCTTCGTCGCTGCCTTTCCAACTCCCCTTTTCCCGGGCGGCCATTTTCCCAGCTTCACAGGGTCCCACACATCCCACGGGGGCAAGACCCGCCACCTTTCATTCACGCCACAGACACTTCCTGAAAACCTACTGCGTGCCGGGCGCAGCCCGAAGGGCTGGGGCTGCAGCAGCGGAAGCGTTAGACCCGACTCATCTGGCCAACAAACGAGGGCCTTCGACCACTGCGTGCGCCTCACGTGCTCAGAAGACAAAGGAAGTGCAACGGGCCGGCCGGCGCGGCTCAGTGGGTGAGCGACGCTAGGAACCAGGTCAGGGCTCCATTCCGGGTCAGGGCTCAAGCCCGGGGTGCACCTCGACCCCTAGGAGGGGGCGTGCAGGAGGCCGCTGACCCATGATTCTCTCCCATCGTTGCCGTTTCCCTCCCTCCCCCGCTCCTCTCTGCGATCAGTGAAATGTGTGTAGACTTTAAGAGGAGCGGAGTGAGGGGAGGAAGCCTGCTCCTCTCTAACAGACCAGCGACGCGCTGGCACCTGTTTGCGCTGCCTGATCTCAAATCTAGGGCCTTGGCTTCAAGACCTACGACAAAGAGTAACCATCGTTTTATTTCTGACAATTGCCTGTTACATCAGCCAGGGCGCCGGCCGGCTGAGCCACCGTCAGGTCCAGGCCCAGCGGCCGTGGCTGGACGGAAGGAAGTCACACCGGACCCAGCGGCACGCAGCTGCGAGCACACACGAGAGTTTAATCCACAAAATCCCACAGCGGGAACCTCGGTGTCACACGTCACGTCCTGTCCCGTGGCTTTGCTTTGTCTGTCCTCGGCCTGACGGCGGAATTTGGAAAAACCGTCGGCCCCGGTGCTTCTGCACCCGGGAGGTTCTGGGTGAGCTCTCCTGCGGGGCCGGGGCACTTGTGTGAGTCCCAGTAAAGGTGCCCCTCCGCCCTGACGCAGGCAGGATCCAGCTGTCCCGGCTCCAGAGGAACGCGATCCTCTCCGCCCTGGCCTTCCTGCTGAGCTGCGGGCTCCTGTCCTACCTCAGCGCGGCCGACCCGTGGACAGGTACCGGCGCCGGGGGCAGCGGAGGGCCGAGGCGGCTGCAGCTGAAACTGCTCAGCAGCCGCGAATGGGCGGGGAATGGGCACCCCCCAGGTTAAGAGGGGCGTGGCGTCCCCCGCCTCCTGGCAGGACACGGGCGCTGCTGCCAGTCCTCTGGCTGCTCCCGTGTCTGCGTGGGCAGGTGTCCGCCCACTGCCCTGCGGTGGAGGCTCGCGGTCACCCCCGCCCCGCCCCGTGCCGTGGTTCTCAGGACCCCCGCCGCCCTGTGTCCGGAAAGGACAAGAGGGCGGCCGGGAGCCGGGAGGGGCAGGGAGGTGTCCTCCCCACGCGCAGACACCCAGGCAGCGCAGTGGGGCTGTGGGTGGGGAGGCGAGGACAGCCACGGGCTCGGAGAAGGTGCTCGCCCTCGGCTGTTCTTGAGCGCACAGGGGACGCCCGAGGCCTGGGGGCCCTCGGTGAAGCAGCAGGAAGCGCCGTCTGGGTGTCCCCCACGGAGGCTCTGAGGTCCTCGGGGCCTGGGCGCTGGGCTGAGGAGGTTCTCTGGTTCAGCCCCGAACGGCAGGCCAGCGGAGGAGCAGAAGGGGAGGCCCGCACACCCGCCCGTCTTGCCGGCTCCTCGGAAGGCAGATGCCGACCCGGGACAGGGCCCGCGGCTGCCGCCTCAGGTACCTGCCATGAGCCGGTCAGGCTGGCGCCGGCTCCGTGCCAGAGGCCTCGGGACAGGACGCAGGGCTCACACCGATGGCGAGGTTGTCTGTTCCCGCCGTCTGACGGGTGTCTCACCCCCATGCTCCTCCGGGCGGGTGGGCGACCCTGGGGAAGGAGGAGGCGCGCCTGCTGGTCCCGGGGCCTGGGTTTGGGGGTGAGCAGAGCAGACTGTCCTCTCCCTGGGCCTGGGCCAGGGCAGCCTCCCTGAGGACAGGACCCCGGGCAGCACTGGGCGGCTAGGGACCCCCGAACCTGCAGATCAGAGCGCCCCACAGAGACGCGGGGACAGGCGGCAGGAGGAGGGACGAGGCGGCGGACGAGGCTCCTCAGGGAGAAGGCCCGCCAGGTCGGCCGGTCGGTTGGTCATCAGGTCCCAGGAGCTGCAGTGAGCGCTGGGCGGAGGCTGCCTGAGGCGTCTCTTCTGGAAAAGAAGAAGGGAGACAGCGTCTGGCGCCGCAGCCTGGAGCCACGCCGGGTTCTCAGAGGAACCCGGAGCACAAGCAGCAAAGGGAGAGCGGGCACGCTGGGCGTCATGGCAACAGGAGCCTCCGGGCACAGCCTCTGGGAGGAAGGAGGACCCCCGGGATGGGAGGACGTCCCAGCCGCTCGTCTTACCAGGATCCGTACCAGGACGTGTTGGAAAAGCTCCTGAAACTCAGCAACAAACCACAACACAAGGACCTTCACCCACGGGGCGCATCGCCGCATGAACCACGTAACACGCCCAGGACCGCGGCCACTGCAGCCCAGCGGGTGCGAGCTGAGCGCGCAGGGCCCAGGTGGGGACCCCGGTCCCGATTCAGAAACGGGCGGAGCACCTCGATAGCCAGGCCAGTGTGGCTGAGCGGCAGCCTGTGAACCAGTCACAGTTCCACGCCCGGTCCCGCACGTGCCCGGGTTGCAGGCTGCATCCCCAGTTTGGGGCGCGGGGGAGGCAGCCGACCCATGATTCTCTCTCATCTTTGTTGTTGTTGTTAATCGCACCCGAGGATATTTTCCCATTGATTGTTAGAGAGGGCGGGAGAGAGAGGGAAAGACAGAGAGAAACACACCGACTGGTTGTCTCCTGCACGCGCCCTGACCAGGGCCTGGGCCAGGAAGGAGCCTGCAACCGTGGTGCGTGGACTTGACCGGAATCGAACCCAGGACCCTTTGGTCCACAGGCCGACGCTCTATCCACTGAGCCACACCGGCCAGGGCTCATCTTTGGTTTCTCTCTCCCTCTCCCTTCCTTTCTGAAATTAATTTTTTAAAAAAAATTTTTTTAGAGGGACGTGCCCTGACCGGTGTTGCTCAGTGGATAGAGCGTCGGCCTGTGGACTGAAGGGTCCCAGGTTCGATTCTGGTCGAGGGCATGTACATTGGTTGCGGGCACATCCCCAGTAGGGGGTGTGCTGGAGGCAGCTGATCGATGTTTCTCTCTCATTGATGTTGCTAGCTCTCCATCCCTCTCCCTTCCTCTCTGTGAAAAATCAATAAAATATATTTTTAAACATAAAAGGAGGGATGTTCTGACACACGCTAAGACACACGTGGACCTTGAAGACGTGATGCTGTGAAACAAGGCAGACACCCATACCCCGCCCGTGAGGTGGGCAGCGCGGGCGGGCCACGGACATGGGCGGACCACGGACACAGTGGACCATGGACACAGCGGACCATGGACACAGCGGACCATGGACACAGCGGACCACGGACACGGGCGGACCATGGGTGTGGCCGGACTACAGACACGGGTGGACCACGGATGTGGCCCTGCGAAGCTGTCAGACAGCGGCCAGGTTGTCTGGGCCGATCACCTCGCTTTGGAAAGGGATGAGGAGGGGCTGCCCAAGGCTGTGCGCCAGCTTAAGGTAACGCTTTACAAGGGGAACCGGGTGGGTGGGGTCCCCCCCTCCTTACTCTCCGTTGCTGCCGCCTGGAGGTCTAAAAGGGCAGAGCAGGTGTGCTGGGGTCCAGGTCCGGCTCCCAAATCTGCGAGCTGTGGAGGGAATTAGGCCCCAGGCTTTGAGGGGAGGCTTGAGAGGAGGCTGTGGACCCCCAGATGCACCTCCCGCCCCGTGCAGGGCTACCACGTGGGGCAGGACCGTCCGAGAGGGACCAGGACACTCCTTCCGGGTGACCCCTGGATGGAGAGCTGCCGGGGCGCCCGCGGGGAGCTGCGGGCCGGTGCCTGCGCTGAGGGGGGCTGGAGCTGGAGCAGGAGCAGGAGCAGTGAAGGGGCTGCCATCCAGGGTGGAGGCTGCGCGTCCTCGTCTCTGCCCAGCCCCCCCTCTGCCGAGGCCTCGGGCCCCGAGCGGGCAGCTGCCTACTTCACGCAGGACAGGCAGCCCTGGGCGCAGCCGCGGGGACACAGGAACATGGACACGGGGATACGGGGACACTGGATCTTGGAGACACAGAGACGTGAGGAGGGGGACACGGGGACGCGGGGCAGGGGGCACGGGGACACGGGGACGGGGGGACAGGGGCACAGGGCCAGGGACGTGGCGACAGGGACACAGGGGTAACGGCACAGGGACACGGGGACGCAGGGCCGGGGACACGGGGGCTGGCACACGGGGACGGGGACGTGACACGGGGTACATGGGGCGCCCGGGGGCACAGGGACCGAGACACAGGAGCAGGGGCACGGGGTCATGGAGACACAGGGGAAAGAGCAGAGTGACGGGCACCCAGGGACGGGGGCCCGGGGGCACGGGGGGTAAGGGGAGCACGAGGACACGGGGACGGAGACACAGGGACAGAGGGACATGGGGACACAGGGGCAGGGGGAGCAGGAGGACATGGAGACGGGGCTGCCGGACAGGGACTGGGGGCCCCGGGGGGGGGGGCGGGCAGGGGAGGGCCACGCCCGTGGCTGGTGTGATGTGGGCGTCATTGTCATCAAGCTGTTGCCTCAGTGACGGCCTTGGATTGGAACAGCCGGACAGTGGCCCACCCAGGGGCCAGCCCCCAGCACCCAGCCCTGTCCCCGCACCAGGCTGCCCGGGCTGGGCAGAGCCGGGGTCACGCTGGCCAGGGGCAGCCTGGGGAGGGGGTGTCGCCCCTCCCCTCTGCAACTGGGGGCGGGAGCTCTGCGGGTCTGGCCTTCACCCAGGCCCTGGACTGGGCGCTGGGCAGCGGGAGGGGCCTCTCTGTCCTCAGGCCGAGTCCGCACCCCAGGCTTTCAGCAGCGACGTTTTGGCTGCCCCACCCCTGCCCGGCCCCACCCCTGCCCGGCCGGCCCCTGCCCAGCCCGGCCCCTGCTGCCCCTGGACCAGCTCCTTCCCAGGGCAGCTGCCCGCGGCATGGGCACCCCACCCCCACGGTCCAGGGCTCCCTCCCCGTTGGCAGCCTCGTCCGCCCGTCCGTCCCCAGGCCTGTCTGCAGGGGGACCGGGCCCAGGACACCTCCGCGTGGCCGAGGCCGGTTCGGGGGGCTGGTCACTCCTCCCGCCGGCGCCTGGCACGAGCAGGACCCGTCGGTGACCAGCGGGGAGCGGGCGCACAGGCCGGATCCCAGCAGCAGCCGAGCGCACGGCCCAGTCCCCGCGCCCAGCCCGAGCCTCCGGCGGCCGCCGCGCCCGTCTCCATGGTGACGCGGGGACAGCGGAAGCGGGAGGACGGCCAGCCCCGCCCGCCGGTCACGTAAGGTGCCTGCCGGTCATGTGACCGCCCGTGCGGTGCCCGCGCCGCAGACATGGGCCCCCGGTGCTCCCTGGCGCTGCCCGCGGCCCTGGCCCTGCTGCTGGCGCTGGCGCGGCCCGGCTTGGGGGCGGCGGGGCGGCGGGGACCCCCTGCGGCCCCCCGCGCCCCGGACCCCGGCTTCCGGGAGCGCTACTTCGAGCAGCTGCTGGACCATTTCAACTTCGAGAGGTTCGGCAACCGGACCTTCCCGCAGCGCTTCCTGGTGTCGGGTGAGTTGCGGGGACCCCGCCCCCCGCCCCCCCGCCCCGGGCGGCACCGGCTGCGGCTCACCCTCCCGCTCACCCCGCAGACCGGTTCTGGAGGCGGGGCGAGGGCCCCCTGTTCCTCTACACGGGCAACGAGGGCGACGTGTGGTCCTTCGCCAACAACTCGGGCTTCATCCTGGAGCTGGCGGCGCAGCAAGCGGCGCTGGTGGTCTTCGCGGAGCACGTGGGTGCTGGGCACGTGGGTCCCGGGCCGGGTCCTGGCAGCCCCGGGCGGGTGGGTCCCGGGCCGGGCCCTGGGCAGCCCCGGGCGGGTGGGTCCCGGGCCGGGTCCTGGGCAGCCCCGGGCGGGTGGGTCCCGGGCCGGGCCCTGGGCAGCCCCGGGCGGGTGGGTCCCGGGCCGGGCCCTGGGCAGCCCCGGGCGGGTGGGTCCCGGGCCGGGCCCTGGCAGCCCCGGGCGGGTGGCCACGGGCGGGCGGGCGGGGGCGGGGCCTCGGCGGTCACTGTCCCGCGCCCCCCGCCGCCCGCAGCGGTACTACGGGAAGTCGCTCCCGTTCGGGGAGCGGTCCACGCAGCGCGGGCACACGGAGCTGCTGACGGTGGAGCAGGCGCTGGCCGACTTCGCGCGGCTGCTGCAGGCGCTGCGCCGGGACCTCGGGGCCCAGGACGTTCCCGCCATTGCCTTCGGCGGGAGGTGGGTCCGCACCGCCCCGTTCTCTCCCGGGACCCAAGGGCCTTAGACGTCCCAGGTCCTTCCGGGCCGGGGCGGGGGAGCAGAGGGGAGGGGCTGGGAGGCGCCCTGGCGGCAGGGGCTGTGTGTGGGGCCCCAGCCTGGATCTTGCGTCCCGACCAGCTACGGGGGGATGCTCGCCGCCTACATGAGGATGAAGTACCCCTACCTGGTGGCGGGGGCGCTGGCGGCCAGTGCGCCCGTTGTGTCCGTGGCGGGCCTTGGCGACGCCTACCAGTTCTTCCGGGACGTCTCGGCGGTGAGTGGGGGTGAGGGGGGCTGGGGCTGGGGTTCCAGGGGGGCTGGGGCTGGGGCTGGGGCCCCGCAGCAGCCCGGCTGCAGCCACCTGTCCTTCCTCCAGGACTTTGAGGGCCAGAGTCCCAAGTGTGCCCAGGGCGTGCGGGACGCCTTCCAGCAGATCAAGGACTTGTTCCTACAGGGAGGTGAGGAGGCCGCCCCCCCCCCCCCACTGGCCAGCAGCCCCCCAAAGGCCTGCCTTATCCCCCCCAACCCCCCCACTCCTGTCTGTATTCCCCCTCCCGGCCAGCAGCACCCTCCCCCCCCAAGCAGCCCCAAAAGGCCTGCCCTGCCTGCACCCCTTCGCAGCCCACCTCCCCTCCGGCAACCCCCCAGCAGCACCCCCCTCCTGGCCAGCAGCCCCCAAAGGCCTGCCCCCCCTGCAGCACATGACACGGTCAGCCGGGCCTTCGGCACCTGCCAGCCGCTCTCGAGCGGGAAGGACTTGGCCCAGCTCTTTGGGTTCGCCCGGAACGCCTTCACCATGCTGGCCATGATGGACTACCCGTACCCCACCGACTTCCTGGGGCCCCTGCCCGCCAACCCTGTCAAGGCAAGGACTTCCCCCCATCGCCCCCCCCCAGATGGGTCCCGGCCAGCTTCCCAGGATGGTTGATGCCAACCACACGAGGGCCACCACCCCTCACAGCCTGGGGGCAGGGCAGGGCGAGCGGGAGGGGTGCAGGTCTTGGGAGTCTCCGGCTGAGGCACCCCGCTGACCCCCAGGTGGCCTGCGACCGGCTGCTGAGTGAGAGCCAGAGGATCGCAGGCCTCCGGGCGCTGGCAGGTGGGTCCGCCCTGGGCCCTGGTGCTGAGAGGGGGCCCCAGTGTTGGTGTGGGGATCCCGGGAACCTTGGGGCCCAGGATACCCCACCACCCCCACCTCCCCCATGGCCCAGCCTGGGGCCACTACCCCAGGGGCTGTGGGAGGTCTCGGCCGGGAGGGCAGGCACTGCTGGTGCAGACTCGGGGTGTGCCCTCCTGGGCACACAAGACCCCAGGGTCCTGAGCGGGCAGGTGGGGGGGTGTCCAGGCACCGGCTCAGCACCCTCTTCCCAGGGCTGGTGTACAACTCCTCGGGCACGGAGCCCTGCTACGACATCTACCTGCAGTACCAGGCCTGCGCAGACCCCACCGGCTGCGGCTTGGGCTCCGACGCCAAGGCCTGGGACTACCAGGTTTGGGGGGGCCAGGGACCACGGGGTGGGGGTCCCGGGACCGCGGGGGGGGGCCCGGGACTGTGGGGGGGGCCCTGGGACCGCGGGGAGGGGGGCCCGGGACCGCGGGGTGGGGGCCCTGGGACTGCGCCCCCCCCCCCCGGACCGCGGGGGGGGGGGGGCGGGTGTGCTGAGTGAGGCTGCCCACAGGCCTGCACGGAGATGAGCCTGACCTTCTCCAGCAACAACAAGACGGACCTCTTCCCCGCGCTGGCCTTCACGGAGCCGCTCCGCCAGCAGTACTGCCTGGACACCTGGGGCGTGTGGCCCCGGAGGGACTGGCTGCACACCAACTTCGGGGGGGGCGGTGAGGCTCGGGGGTGGGGGGCGGCTGAGCTGGGGTCTGAGCTGCCTGCCCCACAGCTCACTGAACTCGGGGCCCACCTGGTCCCCCCAACCTACTCTGTCCCTTCCAGACCTCAGAGCCGCCAGCAACATCATCTTCTCCAACGGTGACCTGGACCCCTGGGCAGGGGGCGGGGTGAGTCCCTGCGGGGCTCCCCATGGGGCTGCAGGCTTCCAAGGAGCCTGGGCCTGGGCCACACCCACACCCGGTCTGCACCTCCTCACCCTCCTGGTTGATGGGGTCACCTCTCCTCTCCAAGGCCAGTCGAGGCTGCACAGCCTCCTCTGGTTACTGCTCTAGCTGTACCCCCGGCCGGCACGTGCAGCCTGTGCAGGGCTGGGGGCTGGGGGCTGGCTGCCAGAGCCCCCTCCCCCCGCACACCTGACGGGCGTCTGACTGACAGATCCAGAGGAACCTGAGTGCCTCCGTCCTGGCCATCACCATCCGAGGGGGAGCGCATCACCTGGACCTCAGGTACGGCTGCTGGGTGGGTGCTGGCCTGCCCGGCCCCGAATGGACCTGGCCGGGCTGCTGACCCCACCCGACCTGCTCCTCAGGGGATCGCACCCGGCGGACCCCCCGTCCGTCCGTGAGGCACGCCAGCTGGAGGCCACGCTCATCGGCCAGTGGGTGGAGGAGGCCAGGCGGGCGCAGCACGGAGTCTCCAAGGCCGAGGGGCGCTCCCCCTGCTAGGACCCGCGAGGACTCCAGGGCAGGCGTGCTCGAGGGGGGGGCTGAGCAAATGCAGGGGCCTCGCCAAGTCCCATGGGGGAGGGAGAGGACGTGGGGCACGCGTGCCCAACCTTCCCCATCATCAGTCACAATAAAACAGTCCTGAACCCCCAAGTTTGCTGTTTGTGGGCGATGGGGGCCTGCTTTCACGGGCCAGCTGAGCTGTGACACCAAAACCCAAAGGCCACCCCAGCGACTCCACCTCCCTTCTCTGCTGTTTTCAATGTCACCACCACCACGGGTTGCTCCCCAGGAGCCCTGCCCCTTCCCCCTCCTGTCCATCTTTGGAGGCCCTGGGTCTGGGCAGAGGTGCCTCAGGCCCAACCTCTTGCAGAGGAGGGCAAGGCCAGTCCTGCTGCACAGCCCGGCCTGCGGGAGCCCACCCTCAGCCATGGGCCTGCATGGGGGGAGGGGGGAGCAGAGGCCACTTCAGGGCCAGGCCTGCAGCTTTCTGACCCAGGAGAGGAGGGCTGGGCCCTGGGCCTGCGGGGAGTCAAGGGCACGCGTACATGTCCGAAGGCCCAGGCCCCGGCCCCTGG